TGCTCTCTTCGAATCTTTGGTAGTTCGTAGTGCTTAATTGTGTTCTTGATGATCAGAGCAGTACCCGCATGTGCTGTACCGTCAGGATGGTTTGTCTCGTAGTTGGTATACTCTGGGATGTTAATGTAGCTTTGGACAGTGAATCGGGTCTCTGTGACCAGCATCACGTCCCACTTCAGGGACTTTATAAAATGTATTACCTCCTGGGTGTGTTGGGCCAACCCGTTTGCATTCCAGGCTACGATTTTAACGACGATTTGGTTGAATGCGGATGGCTGTACATCATGTACGGGTATCGCTTCGACTTGGTTTTTCGCTGCTTGGGCATATGATTTCCCTGGTGTCGTTGGGTTAGCGGGTGTAGTTGCTGGAGTTAACCGAATTTGTTGTTCTTTGGGTCTAGGTGAGGGAAATGTCCGCTCCTTGATCTCCTTGTAGACCGTACATCCTTTATAGTTTGCTGGGTGGTTGCCTTTGCACAATACGCATTTAGCTGGTGTCTGTGGTGATTTGCTGCACTCAGCTGAAAAATGCTTTTGCCCGCATTTCACGCAGCGCGGTTGCTTGGAACAGTAGTTCTTTGTGTGTCCATAGCATTGGCACCGAAGTCACATAAAAGATAATTGCTGAAGCAATTATTTACATTTGAAGTGTTTAGGATACTTAAGATTAAAAATTTTAAACTATGGTTACATATACAACTATTTCTATATTAGAGGGAAAAGCGTGGGAAAAACCCTTTATTTTATCTAAAGTGCTTTAAAAAATATATTAGACCTCTAGGGCCTTATCTATTGTTTATGTGGGAGAGGAGTGATGGTGTTGGATGTGAGAGGGTGATAGAGAGTATTTACATGTGGAAGGGGGAGAGGTTTTCGGTATGGGAGTTTATGTACAGAATCCGCATTATGTTGACAGATGACGAGGGTTTAAGGCCCCATTACACCCACAAGTGCAATAGTTCTTTAATTTATGAGACATATGTCTGTTCGTTCTTAAACCCATCGATTCCGCGTATTTCCTGCCAGAAGTCACTTAAGTCACATAATTCACTTTCGTATCCTTCCTTTGAATACGGCACTTGTCTCATTGTCGGGGTCGGTTGGGCCTCAGCTCGGGATTTATTCCTTAAATCCCATATGTTGACTTTTGGGGGTGGTGCTTCCACAAAACTCTGTCTGCTTTCTTTGTATGCCAGTCTTTTGTGTCCTGTTTCGGTCGCCGACGTTTTTCCACGAATCGTTGTTTTCAGAGGGGTTTTTATTTTGGCGATGTATTTTGGACATTCCATATTGTTGGCCGGATGTGGATGTTGCGAAGTTTATGTGCCGGACTTTCTTTTGTAGATCCTTGAGGGTGATAGTGTTCTCCAGGAGTACGAAGAATGCTGGTGTGGTTCTCATCTTCGAGATCTTTTTGGGGTTTATCTTGTACCTCTCTTTTAAATCCTTTTCAACTTCTTTAGCTGACCTGTCCTCTGGGAGGTTCCACATGACAAAGGCATGATTCTTCTCGTTCTCTCTCGAGAATGTATAAAATTTTGTATCATTTTCTGTTAGTGTTTTTTCAAGAGTTTCATGGTCTTCCATACTTTGGGGTCTAATAATTGTTTTCTTCAGGGGTCTGTTATATGTGACCAGCACATCATTTTTTAGAATTTGTTTGCAGGTCTTAATGAACTGCTGATGAGATCCTTCGCGATGTTCTCCAACGATGATGATAGGGGGGACTTTTCCTTGTTTTTTGTTCTTCACTGTTGGTTCCGTTTCCATTTTTTCCATTGGTTTTTCATCCTCCTTCATATTAAATAGTGGTTCGAATCTATTTGATAAGGGGATTGACTGGTTTTCAGCCTCAACTTCGCTCGCTAATCTCTTCTGCACCTTACTTGGTGGTGGATCCATTTCACAGAGAAATGTTCACAGGTGGTAATCCACCTGGGAAAGGGTTTAATTGTTTGTCACTTAGAAAAAACTATTTCACTACCATTGGCACCGAATAACCTATTTTAAATTGTGCGTTCGGTTAAGACCGGGCACTTAAGTATGTTTAGCTCGGGGGTGAGATAAACACGTCCGCTCTGCTCCACTGCACAGGGTGGGCGACTTAACCATTCGGCTATTAGTCGCCCTATTTTTAATAAATACCAAAATTCATCGACTTTATGAGGGCAGATTGATTGTGATAGTAATTTGAATTGCAGATTTAAAAATGTGATAATTATAACAATTTTATAATGCATTAAATAAGTAAAGACAAGTTCATTTACTAAGTAGTTTTATGTTCTGTTAGTTTTACTGGTTTCATCTTTTACAGTTATTATATTTTGAATACTATCAAATCCTGTTTATTTTTAAAGTTTCTAATATTTATATTTTCAGTTCAGAAAATTAATAGTAATTTATTATAGATTTAATAAATATTTTATCAAATAATAAAAGAAAATACAGGCAATTTAAACAGGAGCAAAAAATATATTACTTTTCAAAAATAATCAATTGATAAGATCAGATCAGAAAATATTGCGATCGTAATTTAAATTACAGATTTGCATGTGTAATCATAGGAATAATGTAAAAAGGAAATAAATAAAAATGTATTAATTATTTATTTTAATAAATCTCAAAGTTAGTGCTCCTTTGGGAGCAGCTAGAAAAGAGTTTGGATCGTATTCGATCTTCTTGGGTGTTGCTTCGCAAGCTTCGATTTTATACTGTAATAAGATTTTAGCTACGCAAATTTTGGTCACCATTACAGCAAATCTTGCACCTAAAATGAAATAAGTTGGGAACCGTTATTTTTCAATCATTAACTGTGTATTACCGATGCAATTTCTTGGACCATTTCCAAAGGGCAAATATGCATATTCCGGACGACTTTTTATGTTCTCCTCGGAAAACCTCTCAGGATCGAAAATTTCCGGATCCGGATAGTATTCCGGATCAAAATGTAAACCTAATACAGATATGTATATTGGAGTTCCCTTCTCAATAACGTGTTTGGTCTCGGGAATTGTGTAATCATTCATGGTCATCCTGTTGAGGAACGGAAGCCCCGGATGCATCCTCAAAGTTTCTAATTGGAAACATGTTGTAAATTAAATATTTTGTTAAATGAGATGGTAAATACCTGAAAATACTTTATCTAAATAAGTTAATGATTTGATGTTGTCGTAGGTAAATTCATGGTGTTCGTTGTAGAATTGATGGATTTCGTCTCTTAACTTTTCTTGGATATCGGGATGAAGGGCGATTTGGTAGAGGCTGAAAGAAAACCCTGTGCTCGTCGTTTCGAATCCTGCTGCGTAGAATTGTATCGACTGCGCGGCGAGTTTGTCTCCAACTGAAAATGTTAAGTGAGTCCTGAGAAAATCTTTATTTTATTGTGGTAATTACCGAAGTTTGGTATGGATTCGGATTGCCTGAGATTAATCAAGATGTCGATAAGGTCGTGTCGCGAGATTTTCGATTCCTCACGTTCGTCGATCGCTTGCCAAAAAACACGTCTCAAAAAGTTAACTCCTTTTGGATCAAAGAACGAGATTTTGAAGAGCCTCGCAATGGACGGTACAAGGAAATAGCAAATTACCCTCAAGCAGTTAAACAGCGTTAAATCGAAGAGTTTCTTTCCGGCTTCGCGGAACGGTGATTTTTCGTCCTCGAAGCAGTTCGCGTTTATACCGAAACCGCAGGAAACTATAACATCCGTTGTCAACTTGGCGCATAATTCCCTAGAGTTCATCTCGAAGTCATTTCCAGATTTCTTCAAGTACTTCATCATATCTTCTCCGATCTTATCAACGATCGTTACCATTCCCCTGAGTTTGCTCAAACTGAACACGGCTCCGATCTTGCTACGAACCGCTTTCCACTCGGGGTTCTTTTGAAAGAAAAGCATGTTGGCTCCAATAAAATCTACATCTTCTTCGGCTAAAACAGGCCTATCGTAAAAGTAATTGAAATCTTTAACGAGAATATGCTTTAAAAGTTCCGGTGATCTGAAGATCAAACTCGGCGTCGTTAGAACCCATATCCCAATAAAATCCTCCTTGCTGCTCTTGTACATATTAGCAACAAAAACTCCTATGGATTCGCGCATCAATGCGACATTTTTAAAATTTCCAAAAGGAAAAACTGGCTCAATATACGGAACATTCCTTGTTTTCCAATACCGGAAAATTCTCGCGAAATACCAATAAAGAAGCAGCAAAACTACCGGAATCAATAATGCAATCATCCTGCAATCACGAATAAATAAATTCACGAATAAATGATCATAAACAACTTACTTTAAAACAATGTATTCAATCACTTCAATTTGTTAATCGATCATCGCAAAGTAATATCAAGCCTCGACTGCTATCGCTTGATGCTCACTCTGGCTTTATATTCTCCGATTCAATGTTGTGTTTGCTAATGCAATAAACAAAGTTTCATTTATTGCAATGCGCATAAAATACTATTTTTGTGAAGGAATTATGTTCACTCTCGTAAATAATTTATATACATACAAGATGCACTTATATTTAACACATATTTTAATATTATCAATATCTTCAGTTATAGGTCAACAGATTTACATGTTGATCAATTCATATTTTCTCCAGACAAGTTTTTTTGTTGGTGTAATTAATCTTCTTACGAGTTGTTTTTGAACAGAAATTTTTCATTATAAATTTAGATTGCAATGCTTCAAAATCAAAATTGACCATGTTAAATACTCGTCGAAGCGATCTAGGCCCATCTCTTTATTAAAAATACATAAACTCCAGTATTTGAGTGAAAATTGTTGATCTAAAACAAACAGGTTTTATGTTTTTTTCTCCTGAATAATTGATGGAAGATTGTAAATTAAATTGTTTGTTTTTTTTTATTATCTGCTTAATTACCTGTTAAACAACACGAAATTGTTATTTAATTTCGTAATGTTTATCCATTACGCTGAGGTAATTTACGATTTTTAACTTATTTGAGTTGATGAAACTAAAATCTGACAATTAAAAAATCTTCTATGAAAACATCACATTTTATTCATCAATGGAATTATTTGAAGATTGTTTTATTAATGAACTTCGACGTACTTAAGATTAAACTATGCGTGCAGAAAACCTTTAATTCTTAATCTTCTTACGTATTATTTGTAAGTGTTCCGTCTTGAAAATTGCCGTTGAACACGCTACGTTCTTTTAATTGTCGAACGATAAAAAAAGTACCATTCAATTTATATGTAAAAAAATACAAGTAAAATTATCAAGTCGTACCAAATTTATAAACAAATTAATTTAAATATAAATTATGCAATGATTAAAGTACACACTTGGAAAAGTTATATATTTTAATCATTTTCTATTAATATAGAAATGTATATTATATTATTGATAATTATTTTTTTTTATATTTTTTCATATAAGGCTGATATTTCATTGTTCTCGTATTGATTTCGCTGTACTCGTATAGTTTTTGAATAGTTTTCGCGTTGTACACGCACAGTTTTTGAATAGTTTTTCGCTGTTTTCTAATAGTTAAGACGTTGTACTTGAATAGTTTTCTCTTTCTCGAATAGTTGTCGCATTGAATAGTTTTCGTTTGTTACAAGTCGGGCAGTTAACTATAAAAACTATACTACCTACAATTAAGCTCCCCCAGCTGACGTACATCCGCCGGCGCCTTTAACGTATAAATTAGCCCCTGCCCTTATAATATTTTTTTGTATTCGGTAAGTCTTCTTACATATAAGACGACAGTTTTGTTATTTTAAGGTAGTTTTTAGTTAGAGGGTCCAACGAAGAAGATAGTCTTAGTTGGGTTGAAGTGTGAACATGGTCTTTCTTGAAGAGTCCAGGGAAGAACACTTGCATCGTAATTATTAACTTAAGAAGAGAATGTAACTTTTAGTTAATAATCCATGAGATCAAATATTGTAAAGTTGACTTCTCAATAAAAACTCTGATGAATATTGCATTATATATTCATTAACCTTTCTAAAAATTCACAACGAGATAATCCAGTGTCCAGAGATTTCTTAATCCAGGGACACGACAGAGTTATTCTCGCATTATTTTCGAATAGTTTTAGCGATGTTTTCTAATAGTTTTTGTACAATTTTCTAGTTGTTTTCTCATAGTTTTCCAAATGCTTTTTAATTGTTTTCGTATTATTCTCGCATAGTTTTCTAGTTGCTCTCGTATTTTATAATTAAATTAATTTTAAAGAAAACAATGGTAAATGAATTTGTATTTATAATCAAGCAATGAAATAAACAAATATGTATTGGTATTATCTCAATCAATTTTGGATTGAATATAGTCATTAATATTACCTCATTACAATTTGTTAATCTTATCAATGTAAGATTGATGTAATGTACCTGACATATGTTTTGTAATATTATAAAAAGTATATAAAAAAAACTATATTTTCACATACATAATTTAAGTAATTAACAAAAATTAAAAACATGTCGAAATTCAACAATTATTGATGATCATGAACTGAATAGGAATTGTTCTCAATTTACATCTACATCTTGTTAAATTACAATTCAGTTTGTCAAGTGAAGCTTTATTTTTATATAAGCAGTTAAAATTTATAAAAATGAGAAAAATAAAGAAAATGAGTTGATGAGAAAAGACGAATACTACAAAAGCCTTGCAAATCGAATCGGCGTAAAATTAACCTATATTTACAGTGAGGTAACTATAGGGTTTAGCTCTATATAAGTGTAAAATCAGCAATTAATAAGCGTTATTTCGAAGCGGCGTTATTGTAAATCGACGTAAATCGAACCGGCGCAAAACGATACGAAACGATACCTGTACTTAATTTCATAAACTAGATGCAATTAAAAAAAAATCTAATGACTAATTTAAACAAATCATAATTTAATATTTTTCCCAGACAAGTAACTCTAAATTTGCAAAAACAAAACCTATTCAGCTTTAAATTTAATATGTTTTTTTTACAAGGAATTCAATGTTAAATACTGAACGATGGAAACTACATTTCTTACTTAAAAAAAAACAAAAACTCTAGTTAATTGTATTTGAGTGGAAATTGTGGATCTAAAATAAACAGGTTTTATGATAAATAATTTGAAAGTAAATGAGTTGATGGGAAAAGACGAATACTCAATTTACTAGACATGTAGCAAATGCAAATAGCAATGTGTGTGTATTTTCAATTATTTGTAATTTACATAGTCCACAATGTAACATAATATTTATTAACTTATTTCGAATAAATGACTGCATGTTGTTATTTAAAATTATAGTTAATTATGAGGACGAGACAAGGGCAGTAAAAAAATACTGAATATACCATAAAAATATACTTTTTAGAATTTATTAATAATGTATTATTTTTTATTAAAATTTATTTTGTTTATTTAACATTTTCTTTGTTTTGAAATTTTCATCTGGGGTGAATGGAGCTGAAAGAATGCGAGGAATAGATGTTTTTGCTTCATGAATTTCGTGACAAAACTCGGCGTTCCGAATACTTTTAAAATAATGAACATAATAGAGACCAGTGTTTCTCAACTTATGTATAATATTTATTTGTAATTTGTACTTCGATCATATTGTCGTATGGTAAACTTTTTTCACAAATAATATAGTACAATGGAGACCAGTGTTTCTCAACTTTTTTGTCGCGCATCCTAACATATTTATTTGTTCTTTACTGCGACCAAATTGTCATAAAGTAAACTTATTGATGTCTTGACACAAATAATTTACCACACTGAAGTTCAGTGTTTCTCAACTTTTTTGTCGCACGTCTCAACATATTTATGTGTAATTTGTACTGCGATCAAATTGTCATAACGTAAACTTTTTAATGCTTTGGCACAAATAATATAGTACAATGGAGACCAGTGTTTCTCAACTTTTTTGTCGCGCATCCTAACATATTTACTTGTTCTTTATTGCTACTAAATTGTCATAGAGTAAACTTATTGATGTCTTGACACAAATAATTTAACACACTGGAGTCCAGTGTTTCTCAACTTTTTTGTCGCGCATCCCAACATGTTTATGTGTAATTTGTACTGCGATCAAATTGTCACAAGGAAAACTTTTTGACGCTTGACACAAATAATATAACACAATGGAGTCCAGTGTTTCTCAACTTTTTTGTCGCGCATCCCAACATATTTATTTGTTCTTTACTGCGACCAAATTGTCATAAAGTAAACTTATTGATGTCTTGACACAAATAATTTAACACAGTGGAGTCCAGTGTTTCTCAACTTTTTTTGTCGTGCATCCCAACATATTTATGTGTAATTTGTACTGCGATTAAATTGTCATAAGATAAACTTTTTGACGCCTTGACACAAATAATAAAATACAATGGAGACTAGTGTTTCTCAACTTTTTTGTCGCGCATCCCAACATATTTATTTATTCTTTACTACGACCAAATTGTCATAAAGTAAACTTATTGATGTCTTGACAGAAATAATTTAACACAGTGGAGTCCAGTGTTTCTCAACTTTTTTTGTCGCGCGTCCCAACATATTTATGTGTAATTTGTACTGCGATCAAATTGTCATTAGGTAAACTTTTTGATGCTTTGGCACAAATAATATAGCACAACGGAGACCAGTGTTTCTCAACTTTTTTGTTGCGCATCCTAACATATTTATTTGTTCTTTACTGCGACCAAATTTTCATAAAGTAAACTTTTTGATGCTTTGACAGCTGTCTTTTCACGACCCCCAATAATGAATCATGGTCCATAGGTTGAAAACCACAGATACAGACTAAATTTTTACGATCAATGCATATGAATTGATCGTAAAATGTACAGTATTTTACAGTATTGTTCAGTATTTACACGACAGATTTTAATATTACGAACGGAAACGCTGACCGGATATACTCTGAACGTCCTTCCAGAACCGAAAGGTTTCGTAACATACCAATAGACAAAGGAATTAAAATAACCGGAATTAATGCAGTGATCACGCTAAAATTCTCAAATGCAATTTCGTTGATTATCAACAATTTGTTGTTTTCAAGAATAAAGCACGAGTAATTATTAAATAAATTGTCGTTGCATGATCACATTACGTTTCTAAAATTTCTACATTATACACTTTATTATATCGATAAACAAATTTCATGTGTATAAACTACATTTAAGCCATATGAACATAGGTGTAAAATTGTATGTTTTATGCACATAATTTAATATTTATATTATAGGTTTCTGAAAACTACTTAAATGTAGATTTAGAAATTATATTAGAAAACTTGTAAAATTGGGGAACGTTTTATAAGATTTATGCTTTGAAAGTAAAATAAGCATACTCAGCTGAATCTTAATAATAAATTTTTTAGCGTTTTCCCTAAAAGCATTTTTACCATAGAATGCGCATAAATAAGTTCTTTTTTTTCAACAGTTATTTTAGATGTATTATTTATAAATGCTATTACACAAATCTATGCAGATACTTGACCTATTATAATTATATTATTGAAATCTATAAAATTTTGTAATGAAGAATGTTTTCGTTAATAATTACGAAATAAATTACGTCAATTAAATTTATAAAAATAACTAAAATGTAAATTGTTGTTTCGCAAATATAAACTAAATTATTTCTATGGTAATTTATAACATGATGTTTATTCGATATTTTCTTGACAAATGTAAATTAATTGAATATATATGCAAAGGTCTAGATGTTATTAAGAATTATTATTTTTAAAATTTATTTTGTTATATCAAAAAAAAAACTATACGTATTTATTATAATGAAATATTACACATATGTTGTAGATAAATGATATTGGTAAAACTATAACGTCGAGTGTACTAAAAGAAATGTGGATCAGAGGGCAATTCAGGTCACGTAAAGGATTATCCTCGCATGAGCTTTACAAGACTTTGTTACGAGTAAAAAACATATATCTTAGAAACAAAGTTTACAAAGTTAATTTTACGAGATTTGTTTGTATATAAGTTAGCATTTAAGTAACGTTAAAGTATTTATACTGACCTTAATTTATATACGTTCAAAGCTCCTGTATTTTCTTTCAATTCATGTTGTGCAATAATGCAAATGGTTGTTTTTTAAGTGATTTAAGGAATTAAATATAAAAATTCAATATTCATACACATTTATTCAAAATTATAATACATTGGCATAAAGGACAAACTTTACGAATAAAATATTTAACTCTACCTATATCTACAGATGTATATTTACCATCACTTAGTCTCTATTGATGTAGGAAGAATATAGATCGGTGATATCGATAGCTAATATTGTTTTACATTGTTACGTGTTTAGGCATGAGAAATGTCGTGGTCCATCATAGCATACAATCGAAATACGTGTACAGTACAGTAGTAGTTGTAGTAGCAATAGTTTGATATATTTAATCATATATGTATATTTATGTATCTATATATATATATATATATATACAGATAATAATAAATACATTATATAGTCGTTCAATTCCAACGACGACGTTCATACAGATAAATCTATTTAGATACTAGCACCAGTGAAAGAAGATCCTACATTTAATTTATGTTCCATCGATTTTTGGTTAATTAATAGTCCACGAATGCGCGACAGATTTTGTACGAGATAATTATTACGTAAAACAACAGCAACTGAATATATATATATATATAAAATAACACGGCTAGCATGAAAAGGTGATGCTGAAAATATAAACGGAAATACCAATTTGGTACGTACAAAAAGAAAGAAAATAAAACAGAAAGAAAATGATTTAGTTTAACATTAAAACATAACGAAATGCAGTAGACTAGAAATCACAAAATTGTAGTATATATATATTTGTATATAATATTGATAATAATTATAATATCATTCACTCGAAAAAATATCTTAACACACGTCGAAGTAGTGGGAGTTAACGAATATTTTCGATTTTCGGTTGATGTTCTTTGGTGCGTAAAATTTCCAGTGTTACCTTTTCTTTTCATTTATTTTAATTTATGGAATTGCACGAAACAACGTAATAGGAACTATAAAATTAAAGTAATGTACGCGTATTCAATTATTTTTGTTTATGTAAAATAAAATAATTTACGAACTAAATTTAATAATGAAAAAACATTTACACTCGTCACGGTTAACGAAAACAACCCTTACATTTCTATCGACCTTCGGGATATACGGATCTAGTTATCCTGGCAAAAAAAGGTTTGTTCTAACATGTAGGATAGAGACAAGTCCTTCATGTCTTCCTTTCTTCTTATTCTTCTTCTTATTTTTTTTTGGTTTTTACGTTTTTGGTCACACTCACATGTCCTACATTTGAGATATCCCGCGTTACTTGCTAACAACTATATAGAGTTCATTCATTTCAACATTAAATCTACGTAGACGACATCATTTGAACAGACATAAAAAATATCAATTTAATTAGAAATTATTTATTATTAAATTTAGCGAATAATACTTGTCGCTGCAAAACTGTTTTTTTTTTATAACTTCAGTTGCAATTTTATTATTTGTTAGTATATTTTCGAAGTCTTTAATTTTGTTTATTTTAAAATATCTTAAGAATAATTTTTGTTTCGCAGCTGCAAGTCTAAATAATATTCAATAAAACTGAATGTAACGAATGGTCAGTATATTAATTATTATTACAGGTACAAAGCACTTTTACGTTGCGCATGTTAATTTTTGTTAAATTTTATAAAAATGCTTTGACGTTGTAATATAAGTCCATAAAATAAATATGTAAGTCTAGAGAGGAGACAAACACGCGCCGTTACGAAAATTGCCAAAGTCTAACTTCGCTGCTATATTAGGAAAAATAAAAATACAATTTACAAAATATAAAATAAATATATAAATAAATAATAAAAAAAAAACAACTTAAAATTTTATATACAACAGTCTAAACATTTTCCCTAAAGTTGGCTTTTTTATATTTACAACAATGACAAAATATGTATCTAGTGAAACCTTCTCGTTCCGGTGGGTTGATTTCATGTCATATTACGTCTGCAGTTTCTTTGTTCGCAAGTTGATTTTCCTGCATTTTGGTGGGCTGCTTGCCAATCAATTCCGACGGTGGATCCAGTTTCTTTGCGTAACTGCTCGGACGGCGGCAGCAAGTAATTTCTTCCTCTTCCTGCTTCTGCTGTTCCTGCTGCTGCTCCAATTCTTCTTCATCCGTCGCCTTCTTTTTGACCTCGTCGAAATCACCGCATTTCGGAGCATCTATTGTGCAGTTGCTTTGTGATTGAGAGGTGGAAGGAATCGATTGCGTATCTGAATCGGGACCGGCTTTTGCTACATCTGCATCGGAATTCCAACCCTCGAGGCTGCTCGACGCCGCCTTCTCCTTACCCATTATAAGCGACTTCCAATTCTTCTTGTTGAAGCCGAGCTTCTTGGTCTTTGGCAGAGTGCTAGCCTTGCGTATGTCCTCCGAAGCGGTTCCTCCATCGACGAGTTGGCAGCAAGGAGATGAGTCGTCCTTTTTGCGACCGTGATGAGGTAGAGTGTTGCGATCGCTGTTGTTGTTGCGGACTGAGCTTTTGGAGCTTCCTTTCATTCGACTATCTTTATCCAAGGACATGCCCAATTTATCGGTGAACTGCTTGAAGCGCGATAGAATCGATCTAGAGCTCTTCAGGTCGCTGTTGGTGGTTGATGAAGTTGTGTTCGCTTCAGGCTTATCGACGGTTATCGTGGTGTTCGCCTCGCTCTTCTGCTTCATCAGGTTCTTCAGCAAGAAGTTCTTTTTCTCATTGGTAATTTTGTTCTCCTCCACTTTAATCTCGTCGACGATGAAGTGCTCACCGAATGCACCGGTCGAGTTAGGTTTCATAATTGGCTCCCCAAGCGCTTTGTTCTCGGTGTTCTTGAGGATACTGCGCTTCTCCTCTAACCCCGTCGGCACCTTCACCGAATGCTCCGAATTCCTCTTGTTCAAGTTGAGCGTTTCCTTGGAGAGGATGCAGTCCGGTTGCTCCGCACCGCAGACGCCACCACCACCTACATAATCAAATTTCTGTTTAAAATTGATAGCGTATTCGTCTAGAAATTCGGGCGGGTCGAAGGAGAGCTTCTTGTTGTTGGTCAACGAGTTCTGGTCGAAGCTTAGCGCGCCTGGTCTCAGCTTGCCGCGTTGCACTACCATCTTAGAAAGTTCGAAATGTTGTACCCTTTCCCTACTGCCCTTCCGCGAGCCCGGATAACTCTTTCGGCCCGTCGACACGTTACCTTCTGTGGAAATCTTGAACTTGAGCGCCTTCTCAGACACCTCCACCTCCGTCGCAGTCTCCGAATCGCCGCTCTCCGGGTCCTCGGCGACGTCCTCCAGACTCTGATCCTCGCTGTTTACGATCGCAGCCTCCTCGCCAGTTTCCATGTCCTCATCGGTTGAACGCGATCTGCAACGAAATCGTAATCGACCACTTAAAGACTCGTCATCTTGCATTTCTCTTGTATTATTTAACCTGGATCGATTCTGTTGGAAGCTCAGGCTTTTGCGGAGCCTTATGCTCGATGCGGATGCCGACTTGGAAACTCCAGAATTGACGCTGCCCTCTGAGTTCTGCGGTGACGGTAGTTGCTCTGCCAATTCGGCGACAATACTCTTCCTGTGCAGACGCTCCTCTTTGGTTGCCTCGTTGAGCCTCCTGTAGTAATCGAGCGCGTCTCTCACCGGCTGAACTATCAGATCCTAAAATTTATAACATTCACTTTTTTGAATTGTCAAACCTTTTGTTATTTATTGATTTTTCCCAACGATTTTCAGGACCTTCTATATGCATATTCTTTCATAAAATTACCCAATTATATTTATACTAATTCATTTTTTTTTTAACTAAATAGCTTTAAAAATATCTGAGAAACGATAATTAAATTCACCTAATATTTATATATTGTAATCTTAGTTAATATAATATAATAATAAATAAATAAATAAATAGTAAATAAAAATACCTGCAATTCAGTCAGCAACTCGCCCAGGGTTTCAAAGAGTGGGAGCAGTACAAACCCAATAAACGAGCACTGCGATGAGGGTTTGGTGATCTTTTCACGGTCCATGAAAGGGGTCACAGGTAATCCCTCAAGTTTTTCCGCATCGCTTTGCTTGAAAAACTCCTGCAGCAGCCTGTCCAGCCACGGCTCGGCCACGTCCATCGGCCGGGCTTCGTTCGATATATCCGAGACTTTTATTAAGACCATGCAGAGCTAATACAAAAAAAATCAATCAGCAAACCAATTAATGGCCATTCGAGAAAGGGCGAACTCACCAAATTAACGTGCGTCTTGTTGGAATAATCAAATTCCGGTATGGCTTCCTTGAATTGTTGAAGGATTTCATTGTGTCTGGCCATGTCTGTAGCCAGTATACATCTAATCATGCCCTCGCGGATCTGCTTGAAGGTTTCACTCGAAAACGACTTGAATATGTTGCAATCCTCGTTCTCCAATAACCGAAACGCCACGCTACAATGGTGATTTTCCAATGGGGATATGTCGTTATATCGCAATGCTAGCTCGGTCTTTGCGTTAATCTGGTAGATATTGTTGTACCCTGGATGGTCGAGATCGTGGCAGATGCAAGAGGTCAGGAGTATGAGCACCTCCAGATCGCCGATCTTTGACGGTAGATCAACCCACCATGAAATCGCGTACATCTGAAGAAAAGATATTCACACGATTAACTAACATTCGTACGACGAAATAGTTGTTTGGTATTAAGCACCATTTGCGCCACGCAGAAGCAGTGTCTGAAGTTGTGAAATGGAACATCGTTATAATTCTTGTAAGCCTCGTATAGGAAGTTCCTCAGCGTATTAATGTTAATAGCGAATTTCGTGCAGAGATCGTGGTCTAAATACATTTGCTGCAAAAGAAGGAGCAGTTCTTCGTCCTCCCATTGTCTGCTATCGAACGTCGGCATCCGAAGCCATTGCCTAACTGAATCAGAAACTTGGGCATCACTGGAACAACAACGTACCTAACTTAGTTCCATACGCTTTATAATCAAATATATTATTATCGAGAGTATACCAAATGTTCAGGAAATTTTGCTTCACTCGCTGTTTCAGCGAATCGCTCTTCCTCCTATACTGCAGCTTCCTGCATTCTTCCGTCGACAACGGTTCTGGCAGTTGCTTGTAAAATCCTATAAAATACACGAAACAAACATCAAAATTATTTATATATCAATAAACAAAAACAATTAGGAAGAATTGCTAAGAATTACTGATAAAGATTAACAAGATCAATTTCAATACAAACTATTATATTGTAAATGCATATGATGATTGATTGAAATAATAAATTTCAACATTTTTTCTCTAGTAGCAATATTTGATACAATAATAGGACTACACAAAATATATTATGTAAAAAAATCTGAGTTATTTGCGAAAATTTTCAAGAATGCGATATATTAAAGTGAACATTGGAATGGGAAAGTTGAGCCGCATTCTACAAAAGGGAACCTTTGATAAAAAATGTATAGCATTCATTCGGTTTAAGGCAATGACTTTAAAGAAAATCGTATAAAATTTTATCTAAAGAGAATCTTCAAAGATGTCCTAAAATACATTATTTTTATAATAATTACGATTTACTTGCACCAGATTACATATTATGCCTACATTTGAAACAGTTCAACTAAATGAAAAAAACGAATTACGGTCAAACAATATTTGAAATTAATATTTTCTAAATAATAATTAAGATTCTGTAAATATATGATAAATTCTCTATTAATGAAGTATTTATTTGCAGCGGTATATTTGATAATTAGGTTGTTTGTTGTGAGGTTTGATTGGAGGTAAAGATGTGCGTTGCAGATTATTATTGAAGCATCTTCCGATCTGTTCGTGGTTTATTTTGGTTTAAACGTGTTGAAGTAATTACCGAATTTTCGCGTTTGATCTAAACGACATCACAAATTAAAGTCGCCGCCGTCGCAGAGCCTTATTTAAGTAAACACACGGCGCAAAGTGTATTGCGGGGGAATTAATAGCGTTCGGGGATGGATGGATGGATGCGAAGAACTAAAAACCGTTCCAAACCACAGAGCAAATATTTGCTTTCCGTATTTATAGGTTGGTTGTGACGTGGAACATGAATTAGCAATCGACGTATTTATAGATCCGCAAAATTCGTACTCTCTTATCACACATAGCCATAGAAATATATATATAGAGAGAGAGAGGAAGAGATTCTAATCCGCACTACCATTACCTAAATAAGATGTGGTTCGTAATGTCCGTAGAGCAACAAACAACAAATAATATTTACCCAACCAGCTGAGGCTCTCCGTTGTCTCCAATTTGAGCCTGAAATCGTCGACCTGCCTCTCCAGCTGGTTGACGGTCGGAGGCAGCGGAATGTCGGCTTTTAGCTGCCTCTCGATTTCCGATATTCGCGCCTCTAGCTCTTGGAGATGGGCGCCGGTGGTTTCCTCCATCATCGCGCATCCGCTTGCCGCCACCACCTGCAGCGAGTACGGCTCTTCGGGACAATTTACCGGCAGGTCCTGACTAATGTTCAGCAGTTGTCCTCCGCGGTTATACAACTTCAAGATATCCCTAGGGCCCGCCTCCGCTGCAGAACGGAACAAATCTGGAACACAATCAAAACACACATTGTTATTTAACGAATCGCACGTTTCGCTAAACACACACAAATGTTTTTAATTGCATAAAAATCAATAGTCTCTTTCAAGTACGTTTTTTGATTACAGCAACACTTCATTTTCAATCGATTTCTGTTCAATTCAACATAGTATTTATTGTAAATTACAAAAACTTCTTTTTCCATCTCTATTTCTTAACAACAAGAACAACTTATTTAAGCTCAAATCGCACAACATTTAGGTTTTATATATCAATACATTTTGTTTATTATTAGTTAAGCAAAACTTCGTTTTCAGATGTAAAAATACTATGAGCAGAATGTGTTGTATATATTTATCATTTGTTCATCTTTCAAATATACTTAGCTTCGTGATTTCGGTTTTTGGATGAGCATTTTTTCTTCTTTTTCTACGTGAGCATGCGAAGGATTTGCAGGTCCCCGGAGTATTGAAGTTCCTGTCGTGCAGGATGACAAACTCTTCAAATACTCGAATTTCCCGAGACGCATTGCGTTCCTCTTTATTTGGTCGTGATTAATGACCGATGGTCTGTCAGACCCTTCTTTGGAAAAATGATCGTTTTAAAATGGAAAAACCACTTGCCTCTCAACTAACGCACATATTTTTTTCTCATTTGTACATCGTTATTATCCCAGCAGGAGCACTAAATCACTGTATTTATTGGAAAAATCAAATAGTTTCTATAAATTGATTTCAAATAAATATCGTCGCATTTATTGATTTTATAAAGAAAGATTTTTATATTAAATGGACGAAAGTTAAAGAAAAAGTTAACAAAAGAGCAGTTTATATATAAATAATGAGAAAATTACAATAATATCCTTGCAGCTATTAAATTTATATAAACAAAATATGAAGTTTGATTGGATTTAGAGAATTAAGAAATGTGAGGCAAATAATATGGAAATGGAAATAATATTTATATATAAAAAAAGATCGACTTTTGATATTAATTACATCAGGAACGTCAAGGATTTATGATATTTAGATGAACTTTAGTCTTAATAAGTCAGTTAAGTTGGAAGCAACGTGAAATTACATAAATATCTTGAAGAATTGTAATTATAATGTTTTATTTTCTTGGAAGAAATACTTTGTAATAAAGCGTATTATTGTTGTCGAAGGAATTGTTTGTGCTGAAACTGGAATTACGTGACAGGTTGGGACGGACTCGGAGGATTATCCCTTCGGTAAATATAAGAAGCTTAAATATGAATATTTATTAAATTCCCCTCAAGCAATTTCGTACGTCGCAGGAGCGAGACAGAAAGTAATTGCCTCGACGATTCAATTGAAATTAATTGCATCCTCAGATGTCGATTGGAAAAGAAATGATCTATGGACAGCAGTCCGTGCTGTATCACCAATAAATTACTTTAAGAACAACGACGACAAATATCGTCGTCCTTCAATACTAAATTTTGCATATTATCAATTTCAAAATGAATATGATTTATTGCCGTTATTTCTATTTGAACCGAATAAAATGGGGCAGATACAATTATACTGTTTTTTTTTTCTTAGTTTCTAGTCTAGATAGATTGCGTTTCGTGCTTTTGGTCACTACCATTTATTCTGGAACGTCCGAAAATGTTGTCTGCTCTTGCCCACAGATGCCATCCCGTGATGTGAATGTAGTTGTGGCTGTTTTATTTATAAATTGCACGGCATAAGAACATTTCGTGCACTTGAAAGATATAAATCATCTTTTCATCTAGCACAAAGAAGATGAAATTCATGCTTGTCTTCTATACGTATTTACGATGCACTCAACATTTGACAATTATAAGAAAGTTTTAAACTGCAATTTATATAACGTCATAAGATAGATCAATTTCAGAAGTTTTATTCATTAGACGGAACACATTTATAAAATATAACAGTATTTCTCAATTTAGAATTCAAGATTTCCTCTTGATTAAGATATACCTTTAAGATTTATCTCAATTATCCCATAATTGTGAAAAATAGTATTTTTTATATAACTTTATATTAAAATTGATTGTTTTTTTTAACATGTCACCTGTTGCATTCAGTTCTTATAAGCTATAATTCCATTTTTTTTTTGATATATTTATAGCTTGTAGTATTCTTAAATAGTTAAGTTTGTCGTTTTATAATTTAATTATTCGAATATTTTTTGATTTTCATAGACGAAATTATTGTTAGGAATTGAACAGTCGTGCATTAAATGTATGTTTCATAATAAAATAGAATTTAACATTTCTCATTTCAATAATCATTTAATTTATGAAGAAGTCCAAACATATAGACATAGTAATCATCAAATAATTTGATATTAATCTGCAACTGTTATTAATAAACCCTCTCATTTTCTTCACACACATAATCTAATAGTTGAATGAAGTCACAATGTTGCGTGAAGCTTTCATTTGATAAAGGTGAAGGGGAAATTGCGTGGAGATTGTAAATGTGGGGTGTTTTGTTGCAAGATTAAAATCAGAGACTGAAGCTTTCATAATGACGGACCAAAGAATGACCCCGCATTTGGTATAACAGCAGGGGAAACAGACCCATGGTTTATTAATATGACAGATGACCCAGTTGCAGAATCGTATATGTAACATTTTGGAACGTATATAGCGTAGGGTACGTAATACATTATTCGCACACAAAATATGATCCATCCCCAAGTTTCATATCCAAATTTACGAAGTGTCATAAAAGAAGCGTTACTATTTCGTTACTAAATAACTTTTGAAACAATATAAACTTATATTTTCAATATCAATGTATTGTTAGCAAATACATTAGTTTTCAACAACACCAAATTTTAATTCAATTGCTTTTCATGCAAATTGTATAACTATAAAACTTTAATAAACCCTCATTTCCTTAGATTGTACCCCTTTTTTAATAAATTTATTACGTAACTGTGATGTTAATTTTACGTCTTGTAACTTTAATAATACATTTTTTCTACCTAAACAATCCCGGTTTGGGAATCTCTGATCTAGGCTATAAGTTTGTCAAATAAAAATTAATATAACCTTAAAAGAAAATGGCGGCAAATTTAAATAGTAAAGTTTCTTTTATGAGACTAACCCTAACTTTTGTTAAATAATTTATTTCTTCTGTCATTTAACAACATTTACCTAATTCGACCATTGAAGATTTCTCGTTTGTACTGTTACCACTCAAGTGAAATTTCTAGGTAAAATACTGTTAATGTCCTCTCATAAAAAAAGTACTTCTTCTCATGCCCAATTACTTATATTATTCAAGTCTGGAAGAGGTTATTTCGAACTGCGAAAAAAAAAAATGAGATTCGAATGGTCGAGGAATCTCGCACACTTGGCTCTCCACCAAGCGTTTAATACGGAATAATTGCGTTACATTCAAGAGAAGAAACATGACTATATAGGCCATTATGCGGCATAGAAGGGTATTCATTTAGTATGTTGGTCGCACGTAACGATAATTGCGCACGACGAACAAGAACAAATATAAACTGAAAAAAAAGTAAATAACAGAAACAGAACAGAAACAGAATGAGAGAGATAAGATGAAAATACTATTTGGCTCCAATTGGATGTCAGCAGTGCATTCGAGACTAATAAACTTCATGTTCACACTGACTTACTATTTCTAGAATGCTCGTATTGTTAACTTTAATCTTTATTTATTTTCAATGTTAAGTTTAAACCCACTTCTTTATCCATACTTTTACAAGCTATTTTTATTGGTTATTTATAAATAGATAAAAAAAACGTTACAATTAATTATTTATATAGTAAATTAAACTTTATATATTTTAATCCATTGATTTTTACATAATTTCCGTAGTTACTTTTTGTTTATACATAAAAACTTGATTTAAAACATTATTGGAAAGTTATAATAGGATAAACAAGTATCGTTTGATCCGAAATATACTGGCTCCGGGTTTAATAACTAGAGTGCATATAAATCGAGTATAAACTGAATCAAAGTTTTCACTATTTTGATGGCAGCGAAACCCTCGGGACTCGTTTCGGATGAATACGCCTATGTTTACTCTAGCATCCAATCAATTGAAATTGAATGGAGGGTGTTAAAGTTCAACTAATAATCTGCACGAATTAAATACAACTTCAGTTACTTTAGATGCATTTCATCTTCGACAAAAATCAATCCACGATCATATTTCACATAATTAAAAATTTCATGTTATTTTTTTAAATTACGTTTTTTTAAAAAATATTATTAAATTAAATAATTATGTAATGTATATATCACTTTTTTATATATTTTATTTAAACTTGAAAAAAGTAGACAATTTATTTTTAAACGGGTTTAAACTCCTCGGTTAGTCCGGTTTCAAAAACTCCAAATATACTAATAGATCTGATTACTTGTACTATACTAGGTATTGCGGTGTGCATCGAAATCCCGACATTATCTTGTATTATTTCATATGGACAATTAATATTCTAATTGTTAAAGTTTATTATGAAGAAATCTATATCATATAATAAAAGATATTGTCGGCATTAAGGTTGTCGGGATTTTGATACTGTCGGGATTTCCGTTGTCGGGATTTTGAAATAGACCCGAGGTATTGCTGTATTAAATTTGGTATAATTGTAATGAATTGAATTAGACTTCGGTATAAACTAATAGAGTAGAATATTATTTATATTTTTCACTTAATGAAACTAGTTTTTTTTCAGATAAAATCTAAATATAAACAGTTTTAACAGAAAAAATAGATTTAATAACAAAAAATTGTTAATTACACACAAACTTATATTTCTCATAGTAATAATTTTCATTGCAATTATATATAGCAAAAAAGTTTGTTATAATAATTACAACCCTTATCAAGGGTGCTCGAATGAACCGCGCTTTGAGAAACAAACCAACAAACACATACGTGCACACAAAAAAAGAGTCGTAATTCGAGTACAAAAGTTCGGTATAGTTTTGAAGCGTATTTTCGCCACTTCTACCTATACAGCCGGCT